TCGTGCCTTCTTTTCATTTAAAACCAAGCAAAACTAAAGAAATATTTAAAATATAATATTAATAAAAAGCATTTAACTAAATTTAAAAACTAAAACAATGACATTTCAGGGTGATCAGCTGATTTTAATTTTTCTGATTAAAATAGAAATTTGCTAACTTTCCAAGGAAAAATTTATTAAGCAAAAAAAATAAATATAAATTAAGCTTAACAAATGTAGCTAATATATATATATATATATATATATATATATATATATATATATATATATATATATATATATATATATATATATATATTTATATATATATATACATATATATATATATATATATATATATATATATATATATATATATATATATATATATATATATATATATATATATATATATATATATATATATATATATATATATACAAAAACATACACAATTTTACCACCACAATTCTTGAATTTCCATCGATATGCAGTGATTACTACAGTCCTCAACAGTCCACTAATGTCAAAAATTGCATTATAAATTTAACATTAGGCCACTGGGGATTCTGCAAATAGTTGATTTACTAAAATATTTTAATAGTAGAGTTGATCAAACAGCATTGAGTACTGTCTTCTTCACAAGATTTATTGATCCTTAGCAACAACCTTAAAACTCTTTTTTGATGATGTCAAGTAACATAAGCAAGAGATGATTTGAATTGATTGAAGCTCGGATTGATTTTATTGCCCAGAGTAAATGAGTCTTAGTTTAGAGATTTCAACAAACATATTATTGATGCAATCTTCTTGTAATTTGATTTTACATTTTTGTAACTCAAACCAAATTCCAAGATCAATCACTAAGTCTTTTCAGATAGAAGATCAATCACTATTTTCAGCTCCTAGATCAGTTGTGGCTAGATAACTCAGTTGAGCATGAAACAAAATGTTAAAATTTGGAGTATTGTTCCACATGAATTCAAATCTGGCAATCGTTAACTCAGCACCTGAGAAGTACTTCAGAGCCCAAAATAGTTGGTCAATAATGGCTGCTACTTTAAATTAGTCTTTATGACTATTTGTGGCAGTTCCTATGCTAAGCAAAAATATCTTTGAATTTAAGAATATTATATAGCAAAATATACCATGAAATTTTAATTAAAAAAAAAAATACTACACCTTTTCAACTACAATTTTCATTCTTCAGATCTATCTTTTACAAATTATGCATAGTATATTCTTTCTATGAGGTATGACAAATGGTTCAAGACATCATAAAGAAAAGACCCTAAAGAGTTTGATGACTAAATGTTTGCATAAAATTTCAAAAGAAATTTAACTATTTACTTCCAAATAATCTGTCCTACAGCAAGAATATCTTTAAACATAATGTAAAAACAGTTTAATGCTGAACAAAACAACTTTTTTATGTGTCTTTTGTGAAACCTAAAATAGTTAAAGCAAATGTGTCAGCACTTACTGCATCATAGCATTCTCTCAGGTAATTTGCAGCAAAAAAATGTGATGAAAAATAACCAATAGCTTGTTTTGTTTTTCATGCCCCAAAATTGAACACATAAATTTTTTAGACTTAGTTGTATTACTCCATTAAGCGCCTATCAAACATAATACTAAAAAAAAATCTAAATTCTTACAGAAGAGCATCATGAAAATAGAATACAATGTAATAAGTTATGTCATAAACAACATTTGTTTTTCCAAGTCTAAATTTTTAGCTGCTTTACTTTTAGAAAACATTTCTTAAAATGTTATTCCAATATTAAATAATAAATATTTCCAAGACTTGAAAGATTTATGTAGGAATACAGTTTAACATATCTTTTTAATACTGTTTGAAACAACTTATTACAGATTATAGCCCCTTATGTTTTATATATGATATTTTGCACTAGTTCCTGAAATTTTGTAAAGTTCCTAATTCTTTAAGGTTCCTGGTAATTTTTCATTTCTAATACTTAAATAACTTCTGGTGTATCATCTGGTTACTGTTTTTTTACAGTTCCTAATATTTTGAATAGTTCCTGATGTTTTAAGCGGCTCCCCATTTTTTTATATGATACTATTTATTTTTTATCATTAATATTTTTTCCTGTTAATTTATAAAGTAATGACATGATATTTTATTTAGCTCCTGATATTCTATGCAGTTCCTAGTGTTTATGTAGTTCGTAAAATTTTAAATATATATAATTAAGCTTGGAGTGTCACGTACTATTAATGTTTGAGTCAAATAATTTTAAATATATATAACTAAGCTTGGAGTGCCACGTACTATTAATGTTTGGAGTGGCACGTACTATCAATATTTAGAGTGGAAAAATAATTTTGGCACGTTCTATCAATGTTTGGAGTAGCACAATCTCAATATTTGGAGTGTCACATTCTATCAATGTTTGAAGTGGCACGTTCTATCAATGTTTGAAGTGGCACGTTCTATCAATGTTTGGAATGTCACGCACTATCAAGGTTTGAGTCAAATATTTAAAATCATGACTATAGTACTAAAAAACATAAAAAATTATTATGTATCAAAATTACCATTAAATATTTTCAAACATCTTATCTTCAAAAATCTTATCTATTGTAAAATTCACTACTTGATCTTTCACTAATACTTGACAATCTTTGAACATGCTTGAACTTTTTTTTTTTTTACCTTTGAATCTATGTTTGAACATACATAAATTTTTGAATTAATGTTTAAAGTTAAATTTTTGAATCTTTTAATAATTTAAATTTGTTTTATCTTTAATTTTCAGTTTTGAAGGTACTCCCTTTTGATTTGCTAAAGGGTTGTCCATAAAGTACATACACTTTTATTTCAACCCTCTTGCATTTTGCTATTAGTTTTTTTGAGTACCCTCCACCCCCCTAAAAGTACGTATGCTTTTAACCTACCTACTTAACTTTTATAATTTAGTGTCTCCTCACTTTTATAATTGACCCCCTGCCCCTTATCTCATATACGCCATTTGCAGACCCCTCTCCCCCATGAGCGTATGTACTTTAAAGACAATCCCTAAGACTTCAATAGTCACTTGCTTTGCCTTGAAACCTGACTAATCATTTATGTGCTTTAGTTTCATACTACTTTGCATGTCTTCTCTGTTGGGCCAATGCTTTCACACTGAGGTTTTTTTGCGCTTGCAGTCATACAAATACTTTGGCAAGCGCTTAAAAAAAAAAACGTTAGCCAAAAAATACAATTTTTTTTTTTAAAATGCAAACTGCAAAGAAGTCTTCATTGTTTATCAAATACTTTGATGAAAAATTGTTCTGTGCTTTTATTGTTAAAGTTATTTATAACTTTTTTACAGCTTGTGTTCCTGAAAACATTTTGTTCACATGCTTACAAAAGTGTTTTCCAAACTCTCTTCAACACTCTCTGAATTATTTAACAAGTGTTTAACTAAAAATTCTTTTAAACTATGCTGGAAAATTGCATTTGTGGTTTCAATCTTTGAAAACTCTGCGATGGACAGATAGCTCTGCAATGGACATTAAAACTCTGCGATGGACATTAAAACAATGCAATGGACATTGCATAGTAATTTAATAGCTTATATAGTAATTTAATAGTTTCTATAATAAATAAAATGGTAATACCTTTTTATTTAAAACAAAACTTTTTATAAAAGGAAGTTCAAGATAAAATGTTGAACAGCTGTTCAAGTGAAGACATGTAATGTTAAACGTCACTATGTTCAGCTGTTCAAAGAGCCTTAAATTACAAGAAAAAATTTTTTAGAAGTTTCAAATGTTAAAATGATTAAATTGACGCCAACCATAAACAATGTTTTAAATCCACAATTTGTAGAACTTAACTTTAAATCAAATTTCAAAATGGATGGGAGGAAACTGTCAAAAAAAAAAACTGTTGTAATAAAAAATAGCAATAACTAAATTACTCTGTGATTGCTAAAATAATAGACATTTGTGAATAATTTTTTTAACTCCACAGAATTTATTCTAATAATTTGATAAAATTAGGGATAGATGGTAGTGATGATGGTGGGTATAGATGGTGGTGATGATGATGGGTATAGATGGTGGTGATGATGGTGGGTGTAGATGGAAGTGATGATGGTGGGGACAGTTTATTAAAAATCTGCATTGGCATTACAGAGAATTTAAAATTTTTGTAAATGTTTATTCATCCCTAGAAAATATCCACTGATTCAAAAGCTATAAAAAAGTTATGAGAATTGCAAGTCCTTGAAAATCTTCCAGAACAACACTGTCAATAAAATTTTCGATTCAGTCTGCTTGTGTTTAATGTCATTTCATTTGAAATGAGAGTTGCTAAAACTTTGTGCAGGCTGAAGTGTCATACTAGCAAGCATCTCTGCACTACGTATAAAAACTTATCTAATTATAGTATACAGATTAAATTTTCTCATAAAATGTTATTATACTTTTAAGAAGTCAAAAAGTAAGATTTTCAGAAATGCATTTGTAAGCTTTAATCAGTAAATTTATTTTAAAACTTGTTTTAAAACTAATCCCAACAAAAGAACTTTATCTTCATTATGTTGTAAGCCATTTGTTTAAAACATCAAAAGATGCTTGGCAAGAATAATGTCCCAGATATATATAAAAATAACACTCTTTCTCAGAGTATGTTTAACAATTCTCTGCTTTCCAATTTTTAGTTTTTTTAGACGCCATTCAGAACTTTAAATAATTTATTTGATGTATTTTAGTATGACACTGATCAATTTTGCTGAAAAAATAAAATACTTTCAAAAACATATCTGGATTTGCCTAGATGTTATTTCACCAAAAAACAAGACAAAGATCAATATTGAGCCGTTTTCTGTGATCATGTTTTTACTACAGGTCTCATGAAAATGTAAAATTAATAATTATATAGCTAATCCATTGCAAAGTTAACTTCTGCTATGGTATATGTAGCTATGGTAACCTCCCATTATTTTACTTTTTATTTTCTTACTCCTGATTTTATTCTACAAATCTAAAAATTTGCTCTTGAATACTGTTACTATATTAGGGCAAATTTTTCTTATGATTTCCTTTATCTTTTATTTCTAAAACGCTATTTTAATAAAATTGGACCTGCTTCAGGTGCAAAGCTTGATCTTCTATCTCATTGTAGTAAGGTTGCATCTCTTTTTTTTTCTTCTACAAACACCACCATGGTTATTGCTCCATTAAGATTTCTTCATCAATCTCTCAATTAGAATTCTCTCAGTTTGAATTTCTCTTCATGATTCTGAGTTTCATATAATTTAAAATTTTTACAAGTTTTATGTCAATTGTTTATTAGTAACTTCTGACTTGAAAGATTAATTGCAGCCTTTTAAATTTGTTTAAAAAAATTACTAGGTACTAAACTCAATATGAAAGACTTTTTTTATACAAACTAACACTATTGGCATGGTAATACTATTGGCATGATTTTTAATTTTTCATGACTTTTTCACAGGCATACCCATAAATCATACAACCATACATAAAGTAAATCCAATGTTTTTTAACAAATAAAATACATTGCCTGTGAATTTAAAAACAAACTCTCTAACAATATAAATAATTTATAAAAAAAATCTAAACCTTTGAAAAAAGTTGTTGTTCTAATTCATCTTTTGTTTGAACATAATTCTCCATTCTCTAAAAAAATCATGAAAATCTTTACTTAATATTTTAAATTTTGAACAAAATCTTTTCACAATTACACAAAAAAATTTTATAAAATAAATAAACATGATTTCCTAACTAACAGGTGTTCACTTGAAATATGTGCAATTTTTCAATCTTTGTATGACAAAATCTATTTATTAAAATTCAATTATACTATATACTATTAAAATTATACTATTATACTATATACTATTAAAATTATACTATTATACTATATACTATTAAAATTATACTATTATACTATATACTATTAAAATTTTAAACCAAATTGACAAATCCAATTGAATACTAAATTGGTGTTTTTGAATATGTTAAGATTTAAGATCATTTTTTATTGTATTTTATAAAATTAAAGCAAAGCAAGTCACTGTTCAAGATTGAGTATACAGGTTTTATTTAAGAAAGTGTGTACAGATTTTATTTAGAAAATAAACATAAAGGTACAATATGTACTGTAAAACATTTTTTAGCAGACAACATTGCAAAATCAACTATATATAGTATAAGTTAATGTAAAAATAAAAACGTATTGTTGTAATTTTTTAAAAACAGTACAATTCCTGTAACCATGTCACTCTATATTTAGAATTAAAGTCATTATTTCTCCTTCAAGTTATAGAATTGAGAGAATTAAAATTATACAAAAAGATTTAAAAATACATAGTTATCTAATTTAGTTATCTAATTCATCTAGTTATCTCACCTAGTTATTTATCTCACCTAGTTATTTATCTCACCTAGTTATTTATCTCACCAAGTATTTATCTCATCTAGTTATTTATCTTATCTAGTTATTTATCTCACTTAGTTATTTATCTCACATAGTTATCTATCTCACCTAGTTATTTATCTCATCTAGTTATCTATCTCACCTAGTTATTACTTCATCTACTTATTTATTCCATTTAATAATTTTAAACTTTAATTCAAAAGTTTTTATTTAACAAGTTTTTAACAACTTTGTTTTTAACTTTTGTGCAAACAAATTGCATAGGAAGCAAACTTCAGTTAAATCACTTATGTTCAGTAAATGAGTTTAAAATGTTTATACCTTCAATAATTAATTTTGTGAATTACAAAACGTCAAAAATGTCAAATTTGCTTACAAAAATTTTAGTTCTAAAATTAATGTAGAGGTACTGCAACAGGCACTTCTGTGCTGAGGATACTTGGTGTATCCAGTTTGACAACTTAAGTTGTTTAAATAATGATTTTATGCTTTTCTGTTAAGAAATTGTGGTTTTGATTTCATATTGTAAAGCATTTTAACTATTTATGACTTGGTTTGGCAAATAATGAAATCGTTTAGCATAGTTCGACACATACTGTTTTTCCAGATGAAGGTTGTGGCTACATAAAAATGTAGTGTGACCAACTTCGGACAGCGAATTCTAGGCGTGAAACTTTTCATCAACACTCAACACTCTCGAATGTGTCATTATTCAATTGAATTAGTTATTTACATATTCAATTAAATTTACATAGAATTCTGCAAACTTCCTAACAGCAGTTTCAATGTTATCTTCTAGTATCAGACAAAAGACTTTTTAAAGGACATTTAAACTTTCTAAGACAGTTTAAAACTAGAAATACATTATATTTTTCATTATTGTTAATATCTTTTTCAAGTATATCCACCAATTTTAGATACATGCTTGCATTGTTTCCACCAAAAACTACACCTCGTTATCCTCAAAACATAATGCAATTTATGTTTAACCACTTCTTAAACAAAGACTATAAACTAAGAAGTGTCAAGTTTATAGTCTTTGTTTAAGAAGTGATTAAACATACAATGAAAATAGTAAACTACAAGTTTACTTACTATTTCTATTGGAACACTGAGCTCAGGAACAGAAACTCCTTAAGATGAGTTTTATAGTTAAGTATGACATCAGGCTTTCCTAGGAAAGGCGTGCGGTCGCACGCCTTGTTTTTCCACGCATAAAATAAATTTTTCTGACCAACTGACCACGTTTTGTTATTATGCGTTTCAAAAATTCGCGCCAAAACAAAGCTAAACGAAAATACCGCAAAAATGCAAGCAATCTTAAAGAAAATAACAGAAATCTGTTTGTGCTTTAAAATTAAAAAATTAATGTATATTATTAAAAAAAAAATTTAACCTATATTTTTTTATTTATATATATATTTTTTTAGGGTGGTAGTTATTTTAGATATGAAAAATCAAATCAATAAGAAAAATAAATCAAAAATAAAAAAGTTTTAGTTTAATGAAAATAAAACTTTTAATGTAAAATTTGTTTATGACTTTTATCAGTCAGTAATACTTTAAAATTCACGATAGAACTATAAACAATTTTTAAATGTTTCGTAAATACATTTAAATGTTTAAATGTATTGATACGCAAGAAAGCGCGAAAACAATTGCTATTTATTTGTAAAATATGTGTTTTTTTATTTTCAAATAAAAGAAAATTTTATTGTCAAACAATTGAGTTTATTTTATTTTGCAATCATTATTTGACATTGTTAACAAGTGTTAATATATAATAATGTCCTGAAGGAACTGTTTCCGTAACAATGACAACAGAAACAATGCAGTTATTTTTTTAACTTCTTTCGTAATTACAAAATTATGCAATTGAATAATTTCAACGTAATAAAAGGCGAGCATTGACTCAGTATAATCAGTTTAGAATAAGTCGAGAGAATTTTTTTCACATTAAAATTTTGTTATGTTTAAAATCTCAAATAATATATTTAATAATTAAAACAGCAATTTATTTTCTTGTCTAAGTATTGGGGAATACCGTCATCGCCTTTGCATAACCTTTCGTAAAAACTAAATTAAATGAAAAAATTTAACTAAATTTGTCTAGCGTAAATAATGAATCAGTTTTTTAATACGTTGTCTGATAAAGTTCGTGAATAAATTACGTATCAAGTCTTTTTATTTTCATGAAAACTTAATGACTTATAGTCGTCTTTTCCTTGACTTCTATCAAATTTTGTAGCTGAAAATAGCAACCCTAAAAAAAAAAAAAAACAGTATAAAAATTTTGAAAAAAATGTTCAAGACTTTTTTTTTTTTTGTCACAAGAATTTTTTTTTTATTATTAGAATATTTTCCTTACATCCAATTTCAATTTTATACTTTGTTTAGACTTCGTTTCCTTTTTTTTAATATTATTTTTTATTCTCTGTGGATAAGTTTCGCTTTCCCACGAAATATTGCTGCGGTCACGTTTTCTGAAAAATTTATTCTATGCGTAGACAAACAAGGCGTGCGACCGCACGCCTTTCCTGGGAAAGCCTGATGACATACATTAAAAAAGTCAAATATATTGAATAAGTAAATATGTGTAATGTACAACTTATGCAATACATGTTTATACATATACATACATATACAATATACTTGAATATCTTGATCTATATTATGTGATGAGAATACATAATCTATGTAATCTCATCACTCTTAAATGTACAGTTAAGTACAACATATATTAAAAAAAAACTTACGTATATTGTATGCGTATAAATGTGTTATGTATAACTTATACATGTTCATACATATACAATATACTTAAATGTCTTAATCTATATCATACTTATATTATAAGTAAATGTATTTGAATAAACACACTCCCTTACAACAGCAGGCTATAAGATAGTTGATGAATGTACTAAAGCAAATAAATATTCCTTTTGTTTAAATAGTCTCCACTGACAAGTACGCAACAAGTAAAAAAATAAAATTAGTTTAGGCCACTTAACTGTATGTATGTCAATAAAACAGAAGTATTTATTAAAAAGTAATAATAAAAAATGAAAAAAAAAAAAAAAAAAAACAAAGATCAAGCCTTCCCAGGAAAGGCATGCGGTTTTTCGTCTTGTAAGACATCACGCAAGTATATTATCTTAGACAACTTGAACACGGCCGTTTGCAAGTTTTATAATAATCAATGCTGAAAAAGTTTCAAAAACAAAAAGCAAAACTAACAAAATAAAAAGATATTGAAATAGAAAAAAATAAAAGCAAATTAATAATTTAAATAACTTGTGTACTGTTTTTATTTTTGTTTCTTTAGAGTGGTTGTTACATTCAGAAACAAAATTAGATAAGGCAAGGCAAAAAAAAAAAACAGTTTGAAGTCTACAATAAAAAGAATGATTTTCCATTTCTTAACTTTTTTTTAAGAGGATAGCAAAAATACAAATTGCAATGTGTTTGTAAAATTTATTTGTATAACTTTAATGTAACAACAAGGGTTGAATTAAGCGAATGGGAAATGCAAAATCTGGAAAAATATCTAGTATTCAAAATTTTAGTTTATACAAAACCGTGTTCCTTGTTTTTAAGGGGAGAATCAACTTAAATTTGTAAGCGAAAAAATAATAAATAAAACAATAAACTTACGATTACAATATGAATAACTCTTTATTAACTAACTGCATTACAAAAGTAATAACACTATAATAGTGTTATTACTTTTATAACGCACTTATAACTTTTAAAATTCATTCTTTGTTCAAGCAGCATAATTAATTGCAAATTTTAATTGAAGTAGAAAAATATCTAGAAGAATAAAGTGGATGTTCAAATAATATTTAAAACTTGAATAACTTATAAAAACGTAACAAACGACTTTATAAAAATGATTAAAAGTTTTGCATTATGAAAAACGTTACTAATGGACCATAAAAATGTGCATTAATTTTAAAATTAACCAATAAAAAATTTTTATTGGTTGATTTTAAAATTAACGCGCATTTTTATGTAAAGTTTTTCATAATGCTATACTTTTTATAAAGTACTTTTTTATAACGTTGTTTAAGTGATCTGTGAAAGTTCGTGAAATTTTTAACAATATTTGACTATCCGCTTTATTTTTTCTAACTTTTCTACTTTAATAAATGTTTGGAATTAATAATGTTGTTTGAACAAAGAATGAACTTTAAAGTAATAAGTGCTTTATAAATACAATAATACTATTATAGTTTTA